TTGTGGAGATGATATTTTTTCCAGTGGTGAATGAGGCATGTCGTGTTCTAGAAGAAGGAGTAGTAGTTCGAGCCTCTGATCTTGACATTGCATCAGTTCTTGGAATGAGTTTCCCATCTTACCGGTGAGCGTTTAGTACAACTTACCTTTTTCATTCTGGACCGGTCAATTGTATGTTGCAGTATATGTTCAACCTGTTCATAATTTTATGAAGCATAAGTTTCCTGGGAACTTGTACCTCTCACTAGCTATTTCTTCTATGGCAGAGGTGGTATCGTTTTCTGGGCTGATACAGTTGGGGCAAAGCATGTATATACAAGTCTAAAGAAATGGTCGGAATTGTATGGGAACTTTTATAAACCATCAAGGTTCTTGGAAGAAAGAGCAATGAAAGGCATTCCACTGGTAAGAAGACCTGTGTTCCATCTCTTTTACATGCATAAATAAAAGGCTTCTCTCTTCCTCCTCCTAAGTTGAGCTTCAAGATTGACATTGACCTTGCCCATGTGATCGTGCCTGCCAATAAGATAACTTGCCAATTTATGGTAGTTTGTTAATTGCTATACTAGTACTAACATGGTATGATAACAAAACCATGTTCAGTAGCCTGTCTTTTGCATCATTTGTTTACTAAAGAAAAAAGGAAGGTGAAGGTAATTAAGTCTTGGTTTATGACAGCGGAAGGAGGGTTTTGTCGAATATATATATATATATATATATATATATAATAGTCTATCCATATTCACTTCCAATATGAAACTCATTTCTTTTTATTGTGTGACAGCAAATGTTCGAGGCTTGGTAACAAGAGGGAAGTTGACAGAGGATAAAGCAAACAAAGCCCTTTCAATGCTTAAAGGTGTATTGGATTACTCAGAATTTAGAGATGTTGATATGGTCATAGAGGTGTGCTGTCTTAATTTTCTCATCATATGAACTTTGGAAATTCAAATTCCAAACTGTTGATTGCTACAGTTTTGTCCAATATATGGGGTAGAACTGACTAATATTTTTGTTCTGTAATGAATTTCACTTATCATGTATGCTCATGTTTTCTTATATGCTACTTATTAGCTTATAGATATTAAAGGACATTATAAATAAATTATGCATATGTAAGTGAATCTAACTGTTAAAATCTTACATTGTTGTTTCTATTTGCAGGCAGTCATAGAAAGTGTTCCTCTGAAACAAAAAATATTTAGTGAAATTGAGAAGGCCTGCCCTCCTCACTGCATTTTGGCAACTAACACTTCTTCTATTGACCTGAACATCGTTGGAGCGAAGACCAGTTCTCAGGATCGTATTATAGGGGCACACTTTTTCAGGTTATTTAAATTAGTTATTTTTCTCTTCTCTCTGATAATCTTTAAATATTTCACCATTATAATTTCTTATACTCTTTTAAGTGATTCTTTGAATTTTCCATATTTTTTCTGCTGTAGTCGTTTATAGTGGTAGCCTGATTGATTCATAGCTGCTAGTTGCTAGATAAACCAGTTTCTGGCTCACCTAATGGAGTACCCACATGGACCAGTTATCTGTTAGAATTTGGGTTTTGCAAAATTTTCTTTACCCCATTTGACTGCTTACCAAGAATGTATGAACATATTTTTAATGGTTTGATTCTCTCTTTATTTCTTTTTTCTCCTGGTTTAAAATAATAGGTCTCTGTTTATTATGGGAAACCTGTTTTTGGCAGACTCATAAAATGCTGATATCAACATGGAATATAATACGCACAGGCCAGAGAGAGCCTGGATAAGTTTAAGTTGATTTTTTTAGTTATATCATTCTGCATATGATGCTCACAGTTGTTTGTCAGTGAAGAATTGAATTTTATTGTTATGAGTAATCCCATATTTTATGTTACTCTAAAATGGGAAAGGCTTCTAGTATACTTTTTCTGACATGGCTCTTATATGAACAGTCCTGCCCATGTGATGCCCCTTCTGGAAATTGTACGAACAGAGAAAACTTCTGCGCAAGCAATCCTTGATCTCATGGCAGTCGGAAAGAGCATAAAGAAAGTTCCTGTCGTGGTTGGTAACTGCACTGGTTTTGCAGTCAATCGGACGTTTTTCCCATATACACAAGGCTCGCATATTCTGGCGAATTTAGGCGTGGATGTGTTCAGAATTGACATGGCGATCAGCAGTTTTGGCCTCCCTATTGGCCCTTTCATGTAATCTTCTTCTATTAGAATTTGAGTTATTGCTTATATGTATTTTGCATGCTCTAAAACCTGTGTTTTTTCCACTTCTAAAATTTTTGCCAAAGAAGAATAAGAAGGGAGGAGTTCACTTACATGTCAAATGGCATGGAATTATCTTGTGACTTGAATGGTTATAGTAGGATAATGAGGATGTCATCACAGCTTCAGTTATCTTATTGTACAATTGATGTACATAAGAATATATTTGATGTTCTATATTTTCATGCTTTAAAATCTCTAGGGGTGAAGCTTTTGTTGTTGAGTTCCTAAAGTTGACTAGTAAATTCTTAGCGACTTAAACTATCTGGTGAAGACTTGGGGCATTTTCTGTTAGCCTTCTCCCTCTAGTAAAAGCCTCAAAAGTAAGCTGAAAAAAGCTTTTAAGAGCACTGATGAGTGTTCAGGATTCAATATGTTTGTTTAATTGTATTTTTCCATTTTCTGTATGAAGATGGAGATCTGTTTTTATGCCATGTATGTAGGTTCACACATTTGGAAGGGTTATGTATTGATTTTGTTGAATTATGCCTTTCCCATGGGATACTTTTCAGGCTTCAGGATGTAGCAGGATATGGAGTAGGCGCTGCAGTTGGGAAAATATTTGCCCAAGCATTCCCTGATCGCACCTTTAAAAGTCCTTTGGTTGACCTTTTGGTGAAAAGTGGACGAAATGGTACCAAAAGATTATTATTTATTTTCCATTTGTATTTCTTTTCTTACCTGTTGCTGAGGATCTGTCAAGTTTGTAATTCGGGAGCTATCTGCACTTTGGCTGGTTGTTTTAGGTAAAAACAATGGAAAGGGATACTACATTCATGAAAAGGGAAGCAAGCCAAGACCAGATCCTTTAGTTCTACCAATCATTGAGGAGTGTAGACGACTAACAAATATTATGCCTGGGGGAAAGGTAAGTCTCTTTGATATGAAAATTAACATGCTAGTGGCAGTTAATAGTACTAATTGCTCGAGTTGATGTTGTGATCCCTCTAGCAGACCTTATAACTTGCACTTTATTAGACAAAATAACCGATGAATTCTTGTTGGTTTTGATCTGGCAGCCTATATCAGTCACTGACAAAGAAATTGTGGAGATGATATTTTTTCCAGTGGTGAATGAGGCATGTCGTGTTCTAGAAGAAGGAGTAGTAGTTCGAGCCTCTGATCTTGACATTGCATCAGTTCTTGGAATGAGTTTCCCATCTTACCGGTGAGCGTTTAGTACAACTTACCTATTTTATTCTGGACTGGTCAATTGTATGTTGCAGTATACGTTCAACCTGTTCATAATTTTATGAAGCATAAGTTTCCTGGGAACTTGTACCTCTCACTAGCTATTTCTTCTGTGGCAGAGGTGGTATCGTTTTCTGGGCTGATACAGTTGGGGCAAAGCATGTATATACAAGTCTAAAGAAATGGTCTGAAATGTATGGGAACTTTTATAAACCATCAAGGTTCTTGGAAGAAAGAGCAATGAAAGGCATTCCACTGGTAAGAAGACCTGTGTTCCATCTCTTTTACATGCATAAATAAAAGGCTTCTCTCTTCCTCCTCCTAAGTTGAGCTTCAAGATTGACATTGACCTTGCCCATGTGATCGTGCATATGAAACTTTTTTTTTTTTGTTTTTTTTGTTTTTAAATCTTTTAAATGATTGGCAGCGTCAAAAGGCATTACTTTAATTGTTGTATGTATTGAAAAAAAATAGAAAATAAATAAACTAACTCATTTATTTCTTACAATGCAGAGTGCACCAGTGTCATCGTCTCCAACATCAAAGTCACGTCTCTAGGCGATAATTTAATATATGTAACCCGTTATTAAGGTTATTGCGATTGAGGAAAATAAGTTAAGAGTTTCATGTGCTTTCATTCAGAAACCACAAGCAATAAGAATGCGTGTCTTCAAATGTATATGGTATTTCCATTCTATGTTGTTATTTGTTGAAAGAAACACTTGTTGGATCTGCTATCAACATAATTCTCTCTTATCAATTTAAGCATTTATTATTAAACAACTATTCAGAAATTTTGGATTATAGAATGTATCTTGAAAATTCAACTAAATAAAGGTATAACTTAAATAAGAAAGTAATCTGAGGCCATGGCAGAACGGAACCAGAAAATTAAAAACGGAAAAACACTTCAACATTTGTGAATGTCTACTATATTAGCATTAGACAACAGACATTATTTGGTATGGCTCAAAACACCGAAGCTGGTTACTTTGTCTGTTTGTCATTAAAAAGGATTTTGTTTTTAGCCCCGCGTGGTAGTCAGATTAGATTCTTTGTTTCTCATATTTGATGAGTGGATTAAGCAGAGGTTTATTTTTCCACAGACCATGTATTTAATAATTAAAATAAAACTTCCGTGTAAATAAAAAATAGCCAAGACCAAGACTAAACTGGGCGCTTGACAATGACATCTTGATTTTACAAAAGATGTGACAGGGAAATATGAACATGATAACTGCCACTGTCTTTTTTATCCTAAATTTGTCTGTGCAGATGCGTCCAATGAACTTTCCATCCTTATCTTTGTAGCAAGAGCATCCAATCATCTTCACTTCACCAAATCAGACGCACCCTTTAATACACTTTTAAATTAAACGGACCACCCTAAGTTCAGTCCAAAAGACAGTTGTTCTAAATACGAGGAAAAAAGGGAACGAACTATTAAACATCAATTTCCAGTTATCCATTACCACTTTTTCCTCTTTATATTATTTAAAACTGAAATACGATACTAGTGCCAAAAAGCACTTCTTATCAAGCTGAAAAGATTATAAATGGATTAATAAACTGGCACTTCATTCCTATCTCGTTACAAAGATGATTCATCCCCTTCCATTTAAATTGGACCATAAACATATAAAACAATGCAATTACTCTTCAATGGAATTAAGTTACATATTCAATGAAAAATTATTGAAATGGTTCTTTTTCTTTGTTTTCCCTAAAAAAAGGTGAATGGAGGACCAGGGAATTTCCTAGCATCTACAAGTACAATCTATGATGGTCATTGGCATGTAGTAATAATGTCGTTCATGTGCATTTTTTGACTCCAATAGTGGTAGAAAATGAAATTTTGATTTATAAATAATATTAATAACGGAAGAAATAAATCAGATCACGGTAAGTTCCAACAATGAGGCCCAATGCTTTCTTGGGGATTGCATCAAAGAGGAAGCCGGAATGATCAATGGTGTAGTATAACAGACATGGAGTGCATACCTCTGGCTGATCTGCTGTGTTAGTATCTTTTTACATCTTGTTTTCCGTCTTGGTTTTAGTATCTTTATCTCCATGAAGAACTGGAATCTTTGGAAAATCGTTATTAGAGGAGGCAACTGTTGTAGTGACCATCTGAGATGTTTTGGCTGTAGGTAGACCAAAGGTTTTTGGTACACCATTGTTGACAGGTGCTTGATGATTCCCCATTTCCGTTCTTCCATTTGGCATGCCATTGCTGAGTGCATCTTTTTGACTCCCTAAATCAGTCCTGCCTAATGATGAATACTTCGTTTCTGTAAGGAATAATGAAAATGCAATGTTTAGTTCCCAAAAAGTGAAGTTGTAGAAAACATGAAAAAATATTTTGACCATGAAAACTCCAATGCCAGTTATGGTTAACCAACGTCAGTGCCTCCACAATCAAGAAGTTTCAGACCATACAATTGACCAGATGAGGAAAAATGTGCTGGGATATATAAATATATATATACTTCTCAACTCCGGCTCGCTCACTTCATAGAAAGGTCTACAGTTTCTCATGATATGAACATCTAAACCGGAATATCTCTCTCTCTCTCTCTCTCTCTCTATATATTATATATATAGATATATATATATTATGACAGTACTGCAAAAAAAAAAAAAAAGTAGCAAAATTGAGAGAATAAAAAAAAAAAAGAAAAGGAAAAAGGAGAATGACAAACTTGCCTTTTATTTCTCCAAAGGTGATGAGCCTATTGAGACAATCCCGAAACTTCATTAAAACAATCCTTTCCTGCTCGGCATAAACTTCTGTTATGCCTTGTCCATAAGACAACTGTGAAGATGTGTTGCAGCCATGTCCAGCTAGCCTACTAGGAGAAGAAGCTCCCATAAATATTGTATCTTGTTCATCACACATCAATGCCAGAGTTCCAGGAGACATTGGCCTTCCTTTTGGCATATCAGCACCATCTGAATTGGAATCTTCCGGGCCAACTTTATCAGCCTGGTTTGCACTTGAACAATCATCAGTCACAATTCTCTCAACATCTGAATCTTTCTCGGTTTTTATCCTTTCTTGAGTTGATGCAGCAAAGGAAGTTGATGTTTGATCTTCAGCCTGCTTTTCTGTTGCATTTCTTTGGTCTAGAAAAATTCAAAGTTAGAAAAAGAAGTCCTATTAGCAAATATACTCAAAAGGTAGATACAGAAGCAAATGCACATGGAGTATTATGCTGAGTTAATAATTCAACATTTTAGATGCAAGTAGATATTGGAAAACATTAATTCCTTAAACAAACCAACACCTACCCCCTAGTCTAATACAGCTGTGAGATGGTAACTTTAAAAATTTTGCACACGTACCTGCAAGTGTCTTTGCAGCTTCTTCTGATACAACCACCAAAACTGAGCAAAGTTCCTTCAAATCCTGTGGTTGGATAATGTCTGCTAAGAGAGACCTGGAACCATAACATACATATTAGCTTTGGTAATAAGCATATTAGAGTTATTTTTGTTCAAAAGAACCATGTATATACCTATATGTGAATTTCGAAGGGCCCATTGCTGCAGTGCTACCAGAACGAGTGACAGGAACAGAAGATAAGGTCGAGGACACAGAAGCTCGAATATGGTTTGCCTAAATGAAAAAAAAGAGAACATGCACCTAATATTACCATTATCAGCTTAGAAATCACTGCCTGAAAATAACTATGTGGAATATTCAATCTTAAACAGCACAAATCAGCATGAAGTGGCAGAGAAGACTTGACTTCCATACACAGAGTGTTTTTCCCATAGGAACATTCACTAATTTTCTTCAAATATAGTCCAAATAAATTAAGTAATATATGCCAATATCAAGCCTACCTGTTGAAAATGTCCAAGCCTGTGTATTGATGGATCCTTAGCTGTTGACCCAAAGAAGAGATCCTGGCCTTTTCTCTTTTTAGCTACAGGTGGAGATGCATAGCCAGATGAACCGATAGCCCCAGTTATGGCAGCATTTGCCGCCTGCTGAATGTAAGTCATGTTGTTGGCATGATCTCCATGAAAGAGAGCTTGTCTCTCTTCACTTCCTTCAAAGTTCTTGCAGTCCATGCATTTGCAGTTTTCAGAGCAGAGAATGTTAGCTTGGAAGCATTCACAGTACTTTTTAAGACACCCCGATTTCTTGCAGTGGCATCCCTTGTTGTGCTTTCCCAGCATTAAAACTTCCCCTGTCTCCTCCTACAATCATTTGAATAAGTCCTTATTTTTGTCAACAACAGCGAGAAAAACAGTACACACGCTAATAGCAAATAATGCACAAAGCTGAATGCAAGCCAACCCAATATAAACCATCTCAGTATGGAAGAAAAGTGCTCTGGCTAACATTTGCTTTAATAGAATAATATAAATTTTGTGCATAAAAATACACCCTTTTCTCCTTTCACTAAGCAAATTTTTTCATTCAAGATTTTGCCAGTTACAACTACAGCACAAATGATAAACAGTTCTGGACAGTTACATCGCTAAAAGGGCTATTTAAAAAAAAAAAAAAAGTGGTGATTTCTAAACATGTTAAACAAAGACCTAAAAGAATTTGAAAACTTCATCTGATTAAATTAGTTTAGACAATAAGCATTTAAAACTTAATTAACATTACACAAATTACAAGGTATCNGCTCTGGCTAACATTTGCTTTAATAGAATAATATAAATTTTGTGCATAAAAATACACCCTTTTCTCCTTTCACTAAGCAAATTTTTTCATTCAAGATTTTCCCAGTTACAACTACAGCACAAATGATAAACAGTTCTGGACAGTTACATCGCTAAAAGGGCTATTTAAAAAAAAAAAAAAAAGTGGTGATTTCTAAACATGTTAAACAAAGACCTAAAAGAATTTGAAAACTTCATCTGATTAAATTAGTTTAGACAATAAGCATTTAAAACTTAATTAACATTACACAAATTACAAGGTGATCTCAGCATTTTATTAATGAGATCAATAGACCGTATTTCACAGAAAAGTAGTACATAAAGTTGGCTCACATACCCTAGTATCCCGTGTTCCATGTGGGCTGCTAGCAATTTTTGGCCTGAATGCGTTTGGGTTACGCTCTAAAGTTGCATCAACAGCTTCTCGCCTAGCAGCTTCGTTTTCAACATTGTTATGACAATTTACACAATTGCATCCATCACAATAAATTCCAGATGCAAAGCACTCACAGTACCTGTTACAGAGAAATATTAGCTAAATATCAGAAAACATAATTGCATCTAATAAGAAGCAACCATTTCTCCATAAACAGTTCTTAGACAATTGAGATTGGCAGGAGGGCACAAAAATTAAATACAAAGACAAATTAGCTATGGTTTAATCTTATTTTTTTCCTGTAAGTAATAATGTTCTTGCAAACGGAAAGGACAAAATTGATGGGACAAACCTAGTACATGGAAAATATAAAAAGTGACACACCTCAATGAAATATAAAAGGAACATGTCATATATTTAAAATGCTCATTAATAATTGTTTTGAACAACAATTATTTGAATTACGTAAGGCCTTGGGGTATCCAACATTGCCCAAGCCCAGTGATACAAGTAAATATGCATAATTTGTGTTTAATCCCATTGATATAATGATTCTAATAGTAAATATAATGAAACTATTGGATTGAATCGTTTTGATTACCAATCATTATCTTTTATGATATAGATATAAATCCTTGAGCTGAATTGGAAAAAATGGTCTCAATTTTCTCGTAATATAACTCTAACAAAAAATTACCTCAGCCTCGAAAGTATTATTATTCGTCAAGTGTTGTCAAAAGGCATTAATATTTCATTTCATAAAACAATTACTTCAAAGAACGATAGTATGAGGTGAGTTTGATCAATGATACTCTTAACTGGTATTATAAAGAAATAACACAAAAATATTCCAAAACTTACAGTCATTCCACCCCAACTGAACATTTCAAGCTCACCTGATCATCTGATATGATTAAGAAATCCATAACTTGACGAAAAATGAATGAATAAGTTGAATAATGCATATACACAAGACCACAGAGACGGGTGAGTGGACAAGGACAGGGAAAATAGAGATGCATTTTATTACCTTCACAAAAAATCTGTAAGAAACTATCCTTTTCTTTTTTCATGGAAATAAATCATTACCTAATAAGGTAAATTTTCCCTTCTATCTAAAGACCTCCAAAGTTTCACATAAACATCTAACTACTTGAACAGCAGAAGGAGAAAAAAAGGGTAAACAAAAATGCATCCCTGCTTTGATCATCAAAAGTTCAAGACGAAACAGCAACATCAACCAACATCTCAGTATATAAACAGAGTTGGACCACAGCCCCAAATCAAATAGGAATAATACCGATTTAATACAAATTTCCATAAAATATATATCAACCCATCAATGATGCCCCTTCATTTAAAGAACGCACAGAGAGGTGAGATACTCACAACTTCAAGCAACGTGAATGTTTACAGTTACACTGTTTTTGCTTCTTTGGAGTACTCTCTTTGACGTCAACATTGGGTCTTGGTCTTGATTTTGGGGATTCTGGTTTTCTGGAGAAAGCAAAAGTACTGTTAACAAAATTGATGCAAGTACTTTGAACTTCCATATAAAGTTTTGCCACACTGCCATATTTTTACAGTAATTTTGCGTTGGAAAGTTTCAGGTCCTTGATAGAGTTTATTTACTAGCAAATTAAAGAAATGATAACTTCGGAAAAATTAACTAGCGCCAACCAGAGAGGAAATCAGTTGAGAATCAACAAGTAAATTCAACAGTAAAGAACTCACTCAAGTCTACCATTTAATTTCAATATAACCCAAAAAGAAAAAACTCAGAAATTGAGGAGATAAATGAAGAAACTTGTAATAAATAGTTTAACTGTAAAATGAACTATGTAACAACTGAAAGAGAGCAATCAAACCTAACCTCTCACAACATAACAGTAAGAGGAAACATGCAGTAAAAATAATCAGAAAGTTGATACTCCAAAAAACCAATTTTGATAAAAGAATTTCAAAACTTACACAACCCTCACTGATGGCTGCGCGGTAAGCGTGGACGGTGGCAGAGGTGGTGCAACAGTTTGCGGCTGCGGCTGAGTAATTGGCACCACGGCTTGCGGCTGTGGGTGCTCAGGCAAAACCACAGTTCCACCAAAACCGGCGGTGAAATCGAGCTGTCTAGCGAGCTTCTTCGTCGGGAAATCACCGGCGCCGCCTTGCGTGTCCGATTGCACTTTTTTTGGAGGGAATTCGCCTTCCTCACCCTCCCCCATCAATTTTTTTAAAAACCACTTTTTATTTCTAAAAAAGAACCAATCTTTTGAAGCTTAATCCAGCAATCACACTCCAAAAGTCCCACAAATTTCACAAAATCAAGACTAATTAAAGAAATTTCAGATCCAAAAACCAATTCGACACCTTTTCGGTATCAGATTATAAACAGAATATGTAATTGCTTAGCTCGAGATTCACACCGATGATTTTCTTTAAACCGAAAAAAATGAAATCGAGAGTAACTGGATGCGCATAAACGTAGAGAGAGAAATAGAGAAACTGTAGAAGAAAAACCGTACAGAGATGGAATTCGGTACAGTGATTGTGAAGAGAAGGGAAACTGTGAAAAAAAGGAAAAGGAAGGAACGAAGAAGAGCAAAAGGGACTTAGTTGTTCTTCTGTCTCTCCTCCCTCTCTTCTGAGATGTTTTGAAATTTCAATTTTTGTGTATATTGAAGGGTGAGATTTGCTTCTTTGTTTCATCTCACGGTGTATATTGAGAGAAAATATCAGACGGTGGAAATTCATAGGAATGCGTTGTTGGTAAGTGGTTGACCGTCGGATTATATGTTGCACCAAAGTTATTCGTGCTAGAAGGTGAAATCTGGTGTTGTAGAGTGCAGGGAAAGTGAATGATTGACCAGTAAAATCAGGCCATGTAAGCGAGTTGGGAAATGTGGAAGCACGTGAGTGGAAGGAATATTTATGTAATGGGCTGAGGAGTGGTTTAAAAAAAAAAAGGAAAAAAAAATAAAATTGGCGCTAAATCCTAAATGGACAGAGAAGTTGCTGACATGGAGGTGCAAGTAGAACTAAGTTAAGGTAAGTTTGATGGATTGATGGGATGGGTGAGTTTGTTGTTAGAACGAGGTCATTAATAGACGGTCTAAATTTTAATCACAATAAAACACAAGCGTGTAATTTATCTTTTTTGTCCCTGACATTTTTTAGATGATTTCGTTTGTTGAGTCTTTGTAATATTTTGAAAATACCACCCAGCCTCAACTGTTTATTAACTTAAATATCAAATTATATCATAACAAATTATTTCATCAACTAGGCAACTTTATATTAGAAAGTTCCAACTCTTATTTTTTAAATATAATTTGTAGAGCCTTAATTAGTTAAAAAACTCCAAACATACCAAAGACAGTTAGCGAAAAATACCATATTAAACATCAATTTTATTTATAAAGGAAGACCTAAATGAAGGTTACTTTATCATGATCAAGCCGACTTTAAAAGTAAATTAAATGTAATTTCAGATAAGAGGAACCAAATTCTTCATCAAAAGTTGATAACAATTATACAAGGGCCTGTTTGATAGGTTATTTGAACTAATATCACTCTGAGAAACTATTTGAATATGATAGTATAGGAAAATCAAATAGGATAGGATTCTGATGATGTGTTTGATATAATATCAGAAAATTATATTAGAGTTAGATGAAAATTAGAATAGTTGTTTGGTACATTTTTTGAAAATATTTAGATTATTTTTTAACCTTATACATTTGCTAATTTAGCTAAACATGCTTCGTAATAAAAGTTTATAAATTAACAAAAACATTTTCACCCATCCAAGCCACTGCCGACAACCGGCCACCACCGTCGGACGATAGCCGGCAATCGTCAAAATAGCGAAAGACTTGCTGGATCTAGCCACCATGCATCGATCTGGTCGAAAATGGCCAAATTTACGACTAGAATATGACTATCGTTGATGGCCAAATTTCTAGCCGTAATCAATGACCAGTTCTGATCGTAAATTTGATCGTTTCGGCCAAATCCATGATATATCTGACGAATATTGTCAGATTGACGCATGACCGACCAGATCCAACTAGTCGTGAGTCATTCCGACGCCAACAGCTACCGATGGCAATGATGACATGCGATGATTGCTGACGATTGACAATAGTTTGAGTGGATGGAAGTGTTTTTTTAATTTATAAAACTTTTATTGTGAAAATTAATTGCTACCTCCCACTTTTCATTTTTAATTGAAAAATCTTATTTAAATCTTATTTGATTTGGAATAATTTTTAGAATAATAATTTAAATAACTAAACAACCACGTATTCTATTTTTTAATCTAAATAAGATAAAATAAAAGTATTTCAAAAAAATTAAACGTACGGGGGACAAGATTCTGATAATTCATTAACCTTTTTATGAAGGTTTGACGCAAGTCAACTTGGAATACGTAATGATGATAGAAGAGAAGACTGGAATGAGGGAAAAGTCGTGGCCTATACGGTGTAGGCAGATTTTTAAGGCATAAACCTGACAAACTAAAAGTAGCAACTGTTTGGTCAATAATGGAAAGAAAATCTTGATAGATATAGAATTGTCAAGGATCCCGCAAAATTATCATGGGAACTTGAAATAAAATGCAAAGCACTACAATCCTAAGCTGTCCTCTAGGCTCTAATATCTTTTCGGCTTTTCCCACCCATGCTAATACGCATCTCCAATTCGGTCACGCCCAATGCCTCTTCGATCATCTCTACCCCGTTCCATGTACATATCTCGACGATAATCTTTCGGTGGAGGTGCACCTCTAATTGGCGATCTGCTCCTCTCTCGCACATCTCGTCCCCATCGCCCACGGTGAGGAGGAACTGGTGGAGCTGGAGGGGGAGAGGGTGCCCGTCTGTACCCTTTCCTTTCATTGAAGAAGTTGTCCCTTCCACGGTCTCTATGGCCCCAATCCATAGGTGGCATTGGTTTGTTCCTCCCTCGATAACCATCATCTGGAAAATCAAGCCGATCCCTCCGCATGTGATCAGAAAACCTACCTTCATGCCGAGAAGGCGGTGGTCCACCAGCTACAAACTCTCTAGGGCCATGGCCATCCCTGCCCCAACCACGAGGAGGCGACCTATAACCATTCATGGGTCTGCCAGGGGAAATATCCATAGGAAGTCCAGGAAATCGCCTAGGAGGAGGAGGTGGTGGTGGTGGTGGTGGTGGAGGGCCAGGATAACCCCTTCTAAGACTTCCACCAGGTGCATAGCGAAATCTCTTGCAATTGTTACAGTACTCTCGCCTGGCAAAGTTCAGGTTGCCGCATCTGAGACATGGAAAACACAATGAGGAAGAATGAAAGATTGGATGCTTTAAACTTACCAATAACAGTATTCACTAATTGACTTTGATGAAACGAAAAACTATATCAGCACTAGGTCAAATTTCCTGTCGGGAGAAAAAATGGCAAAAACGAGAAGGTTACTCACTCATGGAGTGCTTAAAAAGGTAAAGATTTCTAACTCTGTTCCAATCATAATAATAAGAGAAACTGTCTCTCCGAGTATTGTAAAAGGGCTTAGAAAGTACCAACAATTGATAAGAGGAGCTTTAAATCTAGGATCCAGCAAGATGAAAATCAATGTAATTCTCTAATTAAAAAATATCATAATATTACCATTCTTTCTTGTAAAACACAACAAATAAAAACCAAACAGAGCTTGGGCCAAGATTACAAGAAATAATGGAATCTAAAGGAGTATAGAAATTAAGGGAAGAAAAACTAGTTAATAAAAAATAAAAATTCCAGAGCAAAAAAATGATACGCAGACTTACGAAGGATCAGGGCAAACCCAGTCTCCTTCCCGTGGTCGCACATTTGGATTATTTCGATTCATGCCTTCACCTCTTAAAGGCCCAGGACCAAGTGCAGGTCCATCGAAACCTCTGCCAAAAGGCCTGCCACCACCCCTTCCTCGAGCATAAGGTGGTGAAGGGTCTCGATATCTATCATGATCCTTCCCACTGCCAAATTCGCGGCTGCGTGGCATACCCCCAGAATGATCAAAATTAGAGCCATATCGATGATCTGCATCCCTACGCCGTATAGGAGAAACAGAACCTGCACGAGTTCTATATCCTGGAAAAAAAAGAGCAGTAAAATCTACAGATAAGCTAACCCCAACTGACCAGAGGAAAATAATGGATGCAATAATGTATTTATAATGCCGGAAGATCAGCTATCCATGAGAATTGTCAAATGACCCAATCAACAAAGTTTGCAAGGGTAGTTACCATCACTCAGACCACCTTCTCTATTAATAGTACAAAAAGATATTATGGCCATGGAAAAGAGTGAAAAGTTCACTTGGTAAGTGCCCTAGTTACTTTTCACAACTAGTCCACAGTACCAGTAAAAAATTGTTGGATAAGCAAGTCAAATGATGGTTACTTGTACTTACCACAAATGATAACCACTCAGTCCTCATAAAACAAAAACAAGCCCAGCGTTCCTACATTCAAGATCCAAATCCATCTATCTTGTAAACCATTATCAGCTTAATAATATGTGTCTAACCTAAACGTATCAGATTTATTAACCCCAAACCCAGAATGTTGAGCAACCAAATTTAGTACAAGACGAGCTAGTAATTCTGAAGATAGCTTTGTCCACAACCGAGGACAGCGGATAAAGACAGATATAAGCCTAAAAATAACAACCAACAGAGAAACCAAAACCCCAGTACAAGTTTATTCCAAACCTTCAGCTGAAACTGCACCTTCAATAAAGAGCAGCGAAACCAACAGGATGAACCATACAGGTAATCAACCACCAGAAACAGCATTATATCAAAAATTGACCGGCTACGAAACCATTCACTTGTTTTCAGAAACATCCCAGCATGTGGTTATAATCCAAACACCCAAAAAATATAACTCAAAAGCAACACAATTTAAACAATTCCAGTCCAAACCCAAGGGTATAATTGCTCAAAACATGCACGTACGAAGCCAGAGGAGGACTGTCTGATTGATCATTATTGTCTGCCACTACCAATACCTTCTATAACATAACGGAAAACTTGAAAGGACTAATTACCCAAAGAAAATGATCACCCAATAGTTTCAGAGACCTGCAGCAACTCTCTGTATCAATTCCTCAGCTGAGATACAGAAAACTATAAAAACAACTTATGGAATAATAACAGAAATTCCAAAAGCCGCAAAAACAGATTTCCATCATACTTACTGTGAGCAATCCAACTCAACCCTATTTAACCATATGGAAAAAGGAAAATAAAATGTAAGTAGCCCAATCAAACCATTAATTATCATAAGGACAATCCCAAACCACAAATCTGCATGAGGGCAGCTAGAGATTTCCAATTACCACCAGGAAGTCTTAGATGTTTCCGTAAACTAAGGAACTGATGACATCTGAAGGCCAGCAAATAGCATCGAATCATGATGAAATGTCAGCTTCACAAAAACATAGCCAGTAGCAACCCCAGTGCATTTTTCATCATATTTCTGTGGACCCCAATACATTAATGCCCAGGTTATTACTTAAGATAACCATCACAACTGTGCTAACTAATATTGGGTATTCTGACACTTCAATGAACCATGCCATGTGATCATCTCATCTCAAGAGTAAAACTTGAGGGAAAATCCCTCCCAAAGTGTGATTTACATCTTTCCAAATTGAAAACTCCATATCAATTGAAACCAAGGTTATAGTCATTATTCCCTCAGTATTCAAACCAATCCACATTCTTTGTCATAAACAGAACAAGCACTTATTTTTTGTGATGCAGCACCCAAGATTCACAGAGAATGCACAACATCCATTGATGGAATGCCCCAAAATAAATTACTCAAAACAAAAAATCAATTTCACCCAGATTATGATCCAAGACCGCACTCACACCATGATGCCTTCCTCAAGACCCAAGTTCTTGCAGGCAACATTCAAAGCTGTAACACATAATAGCAAAATTTATTCACAGTTTGACACTCCATAACTGGCAGTAGATCCACATGCTCGATATGCAACAGAAGACATAGAAAAGCAGGTCACTAGCACAAAAGCATAGGAAAATACAAGACTGAGTCATGCTTTCAAACTCACTAGCAAAATTCTAGAAACTTGAGAATATATCATGCTGCCAGGTCGCATAGTAATCAAAATATGTGTCCAAACACATAAAATAGAGCCCTGAAGTGCTACCATTTCAAAATTCCAACATAATTTGTGATGATGGAAACTATTCAATCTTATAACAATACATACTAAGAGGGCAGTTAAAATATTCTATAGAACATCCAAATGCCGCCTAAGAGGTGTGCTCACTACCACAAACCTTTTATCATTCTATGGAAAAGAAGTTTGGTTTAAACAAAACTTAGAAAAGGGGAGAAGGCAAGCTCCTCCAGAAGATTATAATGAGCTGTAACCTGAGTTTTATGAAGTCCATTTTCTCATAATACAATACGCACACACCCGAACTCACCTAAGTTATCGTTGCTTTAAAATCATAACTTGAACTACATAATAGCTATTTAAAAAAAAAAAAAAAAAAAATCACTTCACAAACCACGAATCAAATGGTAAAACAAAATCTGCCGATCATTCACAAGTTAGTTGCATGTGATAAAGACTCAGTTAAACAAAAAGGTATAAATATATCTATAATTTAAAAGAAACATAATAACAGATCACGCGAACCAGATCTAGGATTTCAAATCGCATCATCTCTTCCATCAGGATTTTGACATGAAAACAAGAAAATTCACCATTTCGAAATTGGACCTCAAAAGAGAAAGAGATTCAAACAGCGCAATAAAAATAAAAACAAATGAAACGACAAAAACAAGGAGCAACACGAACCAGGCTCATCAGAGTACCGATCAGAACGATAAGTTGGAGGGGGGTCACGGCGAACTTCGCCGGGCTCGTAATCGCTGCCACCACCGCGGCCACCGCCACCGTCACCGCCCCCGTCGCTGACGGAGGGACGTACAACTAGGCTACTGAGTAGCGGTTGATGATGCGGCGTCGTTTGTTCCTTGTCCCTTGAACCCATCTATTGGATTTTTTTTTTTTTTTTTTTTTTTTAGTGTCTGTGAATCCGATGAACGCGTGTCTATTGCCGAGACGGGATTTCAATTGTAATGAGTGGGGTGGATTACAAAAACCCTAGAGTAATGGGACATTTTTACGTTCAAATTACAGAAAAGGGCAACTTATTACCCGATTTTTACAAAGTGGTCCTACGCGTTATTAACCGCACTTTCGAAAAAGTATATTATTGTTCAAAAAAAATATAAAAACATTTATTAACAATTATTTAAAAAAAAAAAAACATTGCAATTTTTTCTCTTTCATTTTATTGAATTGAAAAACTTTTCACTATCCATTATCAGTCAACTGAACAGTAAAATTTATGTTGTGTGTGATTTTTTCATCAAACTCGATGAGTTTTGAGGTATTAAATCGATCTAGAATCAAATCGACTCTACTGGTTTTCCAACCCAGCATAAGTTCGTCGATTAATAGCTCGATCCACCACAAGCTAGTTGCGAACAATCCAAATGACCATTCAATGGATTCCCAGATAACTTCAGATCTCAAATATTACGGGAATGATCAGATTAACAGTAATCTCTTCGCAATCATAGCGCCCAATCGTGAGAATATCGGAGTTACATTTCGAATAAATTATAATCCATTTATTTTCGCTATTTCCTTTGTACAAACATTGTATATAAACCCCCTCAAATAATGAAAAAAAGGTTAAAAATTTTCTATAGAACTATTATTGTAAGCTCTCACAGCAAATACAAGAACAATGGAGGTAAGCTCGAGAGTTTACCTCGCCAAACCACTTTAAAAATCTCATTGTTAGTTACTTTATTGCATTTTATTATTCATCCATCGCTGATTATCCGTAATCATGCCCACAACCGTTCCGATTCCAACAAAGGTCAATCAAATCTCTCTGATTGGTGCAAATTTTCGTATCAACATTTTGGCACTAGAAGGAGAGCATTTGCTGACATCTCAGAAATTCCGGCAAACAACCACAGCAACTTACTCAATCCAAGCTCGCGATGGTGCGTACCAGATCGAAGACCACCACCGGAAACCACGAAAATGTGGAAACCACCCATCAAGAGGTGCAACAGGATGTCGTTGGACGTCGACCACTTGTGCTGCCAACTCAGCATGTCACTAATAACTAGGAGCAGGGACGTCAAACCTTGAAAATGGCCAGCTAGTGGAGATGATAAGAACAATGGTTGCACAGGCGGTGCAACAAAAAGCGTGGCTGAGTTGAGAAATCAGCAACCAACTGCCCAGAACCTTGATTAGCCACGCTTCGCCAATGCCTCCCCAACAAGTATGAATCAGTAGGTGGTCAGTCCGGTTCCTCAGCGCTGAGAGGCGACTAGTATCCCCGCCATCATAAACTCCACTCCGCTCACGAGCGTGAATCCCGCAGGCAGACTAATCTTGAGAGGTGGCCAGGGAAACAACCACTGGGGGAGAGTGAGGGCAACGGTCAACCCTGAGATGCTCGGCGGTATCCCTAGCATCAATGTGTCAGTCTTAACCCACGCCCGAGGCAGGCTCAATCCTCGCAAGCTTATGAGCTAATCTTGCAATGACCAGCGTTCTGGTTATATCCGATGTCGCAAGCAACGCATCAACGAGCATGATAGCACCTATCAACCTAGCCATCATGACTCAACTTCGTGCATCAATGCGCGCAATGGAGGGGCTTCGCAAGCCACGGACTTGCGAACTCACTTGCTCAAAGTAAGGCTGAATAGAGCTAGCCAAGGCAACTGCAATGAAGATTTGGATCGCGTGCAGAAAATGCTCGACGATCTAAGCGCCTGCTAGAACAGCGCAATGGAAGAAATAGTGAGTTCCCCCTTTACGGAAGAGGTTCGCCAGGCCCCACTTCTACAGGGATTCAGGGTGACCGACAACCTAAGAGTAAGTTCAACAGGAGAGAAGACCCCAGAAACCACCTTGACAATTTCAATGACCTAATGGAGCTGCACCAGGTTTGTGACTTGGCAAAGTGTCGCTACTTCACAATCACATTAGTAAGGGATGCCAAGAGGTGGTACAAGAAACATAAGGCGAACTCCATCAATTCCTAGCAACAATTCTCCTTGCTATAGTTGCAGCAATTCCAAGTGAGGAGCCAGTTCGCAATGCCACTCAGCTACTTGAACAACATTTGTCAGAAGAGAGACGAAACACTGATCTCGTATATAATGAGGTTCCAAAACAAGCAAGTGAAGGTTGCAGATGCACCTGAAGAGTTTATTCGAACTTTATTGATTGTAAGCATCAGGCCAAACATGGAGTTGTGGAAAGAACTCCAAAGTGAAGATCATGTGAGTCTGACGAAGTTTTACCAGATGATTGCAAAACACCAGAGAGTAGAAAGCTTGCTAGTAGCATTAGCCAAAAGCTCGACATGGGGAGCCTCAAACAGGTGACAAGATAACCTATCAGACAAGTGCAGGGGCCAAGACTACAATGATAGGGACCACAATAGGTCCCAAAAAAGATAAATAACAAATAACCACTAGGACAGGCAACCATTCATGCGGTATGCAGAATATACCCCCCTTACACGAGACATAACTCACATTTATAAAGGCTTCGTGAAGCAAAGAGATTGCCTGCTCCAGAAAGGATGAGGGGGGCTCCAAGCAGAAGAGATTGGTAAAAATATTGTCGATACCATCAGGACATTGGGCATAATACCAACGAGTGTTGGGCTTTAAAAGATGCCATCGAAGACTTGATACGAAGGGGCCACCTAAAAGAATTCGTTAAAGAGGTACTAGCTCGCAAAAGAGCTAGCAAGCAAAACAATCAGGCCCAGAACCAGGTCCAACAAGCCTAACAAACACCAACAATGAGGTCCTGGTAGGTATGATCTACGGGCAACTCGACATAGCGAATAGCTCAAGGTGCACCTGTAAACAATATGCTCGCGAAGCCATAACATATTTAGTCCCCCGGATAATGAGCTATGAACAGAAGTCGCCTAAGCAGCCCAGGCAAGAGAGCGAGGTAATATGATTCACAATCGAGGAATGTGAAGAATCCCCTCGCCACAATCATGATGTGATCGTAGTTGTAGCCATAATCAGCAATGCCAGAGTGCTGAGGGTAATAGTTGATAATGAGAATGCAACAAATATCATCTTTTTGGGAGCTTTCCGAGGAATGAGGTTCACAGAGAGAGACCTAAAGGCGTGTCCTTCACTGCTCTATGGATTTATCAGGGACAACCTGGTTTCCAAAGGGATGATCGACCACTCCGTGACTTTAGGGGCAGAGCCCAAGATTAGGATGATAATGGCTGAATTCCTAGTGGTACACTATCCAACCACATACAATGTCATCCTTGGAAGACCGATCTTGAATGACTTGAGCGCAATCACATCAATGCGCTGCCAAGCAATGAGGTTTTCGACTCTTGGAGGAGTTGCAACGATTAGGAGCTGTAAAAAAGAATCTCAGGAATGTTACAACCGGGCAATAAATGTTGCGTAGAAATGGTCACTCTCAAGAACAATGGTAATTACAAAATCTGAGCCAAACCCCCGGCCTCTTAAGGATACCATTGATCCTCGCATCCATAGAGAGGAGCCTGTTGTAGGGCCAACGACAGAGCTACGAGAGATATGTATCAATGAAGAAGATCCAACTCGCGTACTAAAAGTCGGCAGTAGCCTGAGCTAAGACATGGTCGACAAAATGGCGAGGTTTTTGAAGAAAAACCTTGACGTTTTTGCATGAGTGCATGCAGATATGGTGGGGATTATCCCCGAGGTAATGTGTCACAGGCTGAACATTGACCCGAAAGCTCAGCCGATAAGATAGAAAAAAAGGTCTATGGATGCAGAGTGCTCAAGGATGAAGTTGACAAGCTCCTAAACATCAACTTCATCAGGGAAGTGAAGTAACTGGATTAGCTCGCCAACCTAGTTCTGGTTAAAAAATCGAATGGCAAGTGACGGACTTGTGTCGACTTCATAGATCTGAATAAAGTCTATCCAAAAGACAGCTTTCCTCTACCATGGATTGAACAGTTAGTAGATACGATAGCTGGAAACACGTTACTTAGCTTCATGGACGCATACTCGGGATATAACCAAATCCTAATGTACCAGCCTGATAAAGAACATACTTCATTTATTACTGACCGTGGAATTTATTATTATAGGGTTATGCCATTTGGCCTCAAGAATGTTGGGGAGTGCTGAACAAGATGTTCGTCGGCCAAATTGGAAAGACCGTGGAGGTATACATTGATGACATTCTCATCAAGTCAAAGGTCATCGAAAGCCACATTGAGCATTTGGGGGAAATGTTTGATATCCTCAAAAGATACCGAATGAAGCTTAATCCTTTAAAATGTGTTTTCGGAGTGAGCTCAGGGAAATTTTTGGGCTTCCTCGTAAACCAACGAGGTGTAGAAGCCAACTCAGAGAAGATTCAGACTTTGCTCGATATGAAAAGCCCGACCAGCATAGGGCAGGTACAGAGCTTGACAGGGCGTGTGGCTACACTTATTAGGTTTGTTTCTCGAACCATTGACATATGCTTACCATTCTTTGAGACCTTGAAAGGGAATTAAGGTTTCAAGTGGACAAAAGAGTGAGAAAGAGCCTTCTAGGAGCTGAAGAAACATCTAAGACAACCTCCTTTATTATCAAAGCCCGTCCAGGGTGAGCCATTGCTATTGTACTTGTTGGTATCAAAGTCTGCTGTCAGCACGACATTGGTACGCGAAGAGGGATGAGTGCAATGGCCGGTATACTATGTAAGTAAAAGGCTGCTCGATGCGGAGACAAGATACCCTAAAATAGAGAAGCGCTCGCTTTCGCCCTTGTCATCACTGCTAGGAAGCTACGACCTCATTTCCAAGCACACTTCATTCACGTGCTGACCAACTTTTCCCTGAAGAAAATAATGCAAAAGCCTAAGACATCAGGTAGATTGATCAAGTGGACAATGGAAATGACTTAGCATGATATCAAGTACATCCCGAGAACATCAATCAAAGGTCAAGCCTTAGCAGATTTTATATCAAAAGTCTCCTATCAGTCGGAAGGTGAACTAAGCTCACCAAGGGCAGATAC